TGATGTATAACTTGTTTGTACCTGTGTGCACAAAGGGTGATCGTAGGCTGACTGAGGGGGGTGAAGCTAAAATCCAGAACGTTGTTTGGCTGTTAGTCTGTTGTCACGGTGCAGACATATGTATGGTGACGCAGCAGCGAGTCTGTTCACTGACGGCTATTTCTGTACGTCGCTTGGAAATAAACTTGGCCGGGTGCTTTCGATGCTTCTCTGATTTCTGGTCTCTGGGGTCTCTCTCAGAGTCCGTCATGTTAACTAATTGGGCATAGTTACAGCGTTAGACAGGGGAGCGCATGCACACACGAATGCAGCCAAAAGTTTATCATCATGGACAGAGTAGAGGACCTGTCAGGAACCCAGCAGGATGACCCCGCCTGAATGACGACATGTCAGGCTGCCCATTTCTCTGGCTTGGTTAGTTCCTCTGAGGAGTTCTCTGGACTTTACTGTGGCCTAAATAATCTGCTCCCCTCTGCAAATGATGTCAGCAAACTACTCTGTCCCCTTTCTAGATTATTAACAACGGAAATGTTCATCATACTATTTGTAAGAAAGAATGTAGCCCCTTCCCTCACACTGCTTTTCCCTTCTCAGGCATCGTGAGCATTGCTGACCCTGGCTGATGCATCAACCACCTCATGGCACCTTTCAATCTCACCCCGTCGGACCCATCAACATTCATCCTAATGGGCATCCCTGGCCTGGAAGCTGCCCACATCTGGATCGGCATCCCTTTCTGTGCATGCTACATTACCAGCCTCTTGGGAAATTTCATGGTTCTGTTTATTGTAGGCAAAGAGCAGTCTCTGCACAAGCCGATGTATCTGCTGCTCTGCATGCTGGACCTCACAGACATCGGCATGTCTACCTCCATCACACCAAAGGCCCTGTGCATATTCTGGTTCAATATGAAAGCCATTACGGTGGGAGGCTGCTTCACCCAGATGTTCTTCGTTCACATGCTTTCTATTATGTACTCAGCCATCCTCGTGGCAATGGCCTTCGATCGCTACGTGGGCATATGTAACCCTCTGAGATACGCCACCATCCTCAGCAACACACGGACAGCTAAGATAGGACTGGTAGGTTTATTAAGAGCTGTTTTCTTCACTTTGCCGGGACCTATACTCCTGAGCAGGCTGCCATTCTGTGCCAACCACACTATTCCAAATACATTCTGTGAGCACATGGCTGTAGCTAAGATGTCTTGTGGCAACATCACAGTTAACAGGACTTACGGCTTAGTGATAACATTTGTAGTCATCATGTTTGATGTGATGCTCGTTGTCCTGTCCTACAGTCTGATCCTCAGGGCCGTCCTCAGAATCTCCTCCAAGAAAAACCACCAGAAAGCCCTCAACACCTGCACTGCTCACCTCTGTGTGATGTTCATTTCTTACAGTTGCAGCCTCTTCTCCAACCTGACCCACCGATTCGGTCAGGGCATCGCCCCCCATGTTCACACCCTTTTGGCCAACCTTTATTTCATCATCCCCCCCATGCTCAACCCCATCATTTATGGCGTGAAAACCAA